GGATCTACGTTCTGATCGTGGTGGGGGCGCTCATGATGGTGGTCGGATTCCTGGGCTGTTGCGGAGCCATCCAGGAGTCGCAGTGCATGCTGGGAACCGTAAGTGCGGCGGGCGCCGCGAGGCTCGGGGAGGGAGGGCGGGCGGGGGGGCAGCGTTGGAACGGCGATCGAAATTATTGGGGCGGTCCTTTTCCCCCACCCACCACCCCCCAACGATTCAGCGATGTTGTCAGGTTCGATGGGAGACGCGGGGAGACGCAGGGTGGCACAGGGAGACGCAGGGAGACACGGGGAGACGCAGGGAGACGCAGGGAGACACAGGGTGGCACGGGGAGACACGGGGAGACGCAGGGAGACACGGGGAGACACGGGGAGACGCAGGGAGACACGGGGAGACACGGTGAGACGCAGGGAGACACGGGGAGACACGGTGAGACGCAGGGTGGCACGGGGAGACACGGGGAGACACGGGGAGACGCAGGGAGACACGGGGAGACACGGTGAGACGCAGGGTGGCACGGGGAGACACGGGGAGACACGCGGAGACGCAGAGTGGCACGGGGAGACGCAGGGAGACGCAGGGTGGCACGGGGAGACACGGGGAGACGCAGGGTGGCACGGGGAGATGCAGGGTGGCACGGGGAGACGCAGGGAGACGCAGGGTGGCACGGGGAGACACGGGGAGATGCAGGGTGGCACGGGGAGACACGGGGAGACGCAGGGAGACGCACGGTGGTACGGGGAGACACGGGGAGACGCAGGGAGACGCACGGTGGTACGGGGAGACACGGGGAGACGCAGGGTGGCACGGGGAGACACGGGGAGACGCAGGGTGGCACGGGGAGATGCAGGGTGGCACGGGGAGACGCAGGGAGACGCAGGGTGGCACGGGGAGACACGGGGAGACGCAGGGTGGCATGGGGAGACACGGGGAGACGCAGGGAGACGCACGGTGGTACGGGGAGACACGGGGAGACGCAGGGTGGCACGGGGAGACACGGGGAGACGCAGGGTGGCACGGGGAGATGCAGGGTGGCACGGGGAGACGCAGGGAGACGCAGGGTGGCACGGGGAGACACGGGGAGACGCAGGGTGGCACGGGGAGACACGGGGAGACGCAGGGAGACGCACGGTGGTACGGGGAGACACAGGGTGGCATGGGGAGACGCGGGGAGACACGGGGCGGCTCGGGGTGGTCACGGGGACTGCGTGCGGAATGCGGTTGCCCGCACGGCTGCCATCACCTCCCCGTCACGCACGATGTGCCCTCGCCCACCTCACCCACCTCGCCCACTTCGCCCACCTCACCCACCTCACCCACCTCACCCACCTCACCCACCTCGCCCACCTCGTCCACCTCGCCCACCTCACCCACTGCACCCACCTCACCCACCTCGCCCACCTCGCCCACCTCGCCGACCTCGCCCACCTCACCCACTTCACCCGCGCTATCGCCGCCGTCTCACACCCGTCTCGCGCTCGCGGGGTGAGGCACTCATCTAGCAGCGGATAGAGAACAGCCGCGTGGGATGAGCACGTGCAGTAACAACAGCAGCAGTAGCAGCAGTAGCAGCAGTAGCAGAAGCAACAACAGCAGCAACAGCAGAAGTAGCAGCGGTAGCAACGGTAGCAGCTGCAGCAGCAACCACAACAGCTGCAGCAGCAGCAGCAACAGCTGTTGTGGTGCGGGATGGGAAAGTGGCCGTGCGTGTGTGTGTGTCTGCGTGTGTGAGCGTGTGTGAGCGTGCGTGTGTGTGCGCGTGTGTGTGAGCGTGTGTGTGTGTGCGCGTGTGTGTGTGCGTGTGTGAGCGTGTGTCTGCGTGTGTGAGCGTATGTGTCTACGTGTGTGAGCGTGTGTGTGCGTGTGTGTGCGTGTGTGAGCGTGTGTGAGCGTGTGTGAGCGTGTGTGTGTCTGCGTGTGTGTGTGCGCGTGTGTGTGTGCGTGTGTGAGCGTGTGTCTGCGTGTGTGAGCGTATGTGTCTACGTGTGTGAGCGTATGTGTCTACGTGTGTGAGCGTGTGTGTGCGTGTGTGAGCGTGTGTGTGCGTGTGAGAGCGTGTGTGTGCACGTGTGCTCGCTCGTGGTGCCAGAGGCGATGTTGTGCGTGCACGCTGCCCCTCCCTGTGTTTACCAAGCAGCCACCTTCAGCCTTGCGCTCCTCCTGAACGCGGTATAACCAGCGTGTGCGCGTGTGTCTGCGTGTGTGTCTGAGTGTGTGTCTGCATGTGCGTGTGTGTCTGCGTGTGTGTGTCTGCGTGTGTGTCTGAGTGTATGTCTGCGTGTGTGTCTGCATGTGCGTGTGTGTCTGCGTGTGTGTGTCTGTGTGCGCGTGTGTGTCTGCGTGCACGTGTGTGTCTCTGTGTGTGTGCGCGTGTGTCTGCGTGTGTGTGTGCGTGTGTCTGCGTGTGTGTCTGCGTGTGTGTGCGTGTGTGTCTGCATGTGTGTGTGTCTGCGCATGTGTGGGGAGCGGTAGTGTCACGGTTAGCGCTATGCTGCGCTACGAACCAGGCGACCCGGGTTCGATTCCCGCTCACGGCCAACACCGGTGACGATTATCTGAACCGGTCCTGGGCCTCCCCTAGGTCGACTCGGCCTTAAAACGTGTACCCGGTGCACCATCGCGAAACATCAGCACTGGGGCTCCGATGCGCCGCTCCCAGCCTCCGTAGACTCTGCTCGCTCACAGCACTTGCCCCAGCGGGCCGTGTGAGCTGCGTGGGGGACCTTTGCCTTTGCGCGTATGCGCGCACGTGCGGAGTTTTATCGCAGCAGTGGCTTTAAAAAAAAAATGGGGAAGTTCCAGGCAACACGCAAATAGGAGTAAATGTTTAATTGTAATTGCGATGGTAAAGTGTTGGCCCACGGGGCCGCCACGAGTTCACACGCGACGACTTCCCAGCATGCCGTGCACGTGACGGTGACGTCACGCGATGTCACGCGGCACGGAGTGCAATGCCATCGAGCGGCGCGCCGTTCCGTGCGGGGAGCCCCTCGGTTCCACACTCCGCGTCTTCCGGAACGCCGCTGCCGCTGCCGTCGATTGGCTTGGGGCATGAGGATTTTATCCGGCGTAAGGCACTACCACTGGGGTGCAAGCTGATGCCTGTCCGTCCTTCATGTAACGGCAGTATCACGAGGACGCACTGGGAGGAGAGATGGATGCCAAAGTGCTGGAACAGCTACCCCGAATGTTGCCGGGACACGATTCCCGACTGTGGTTGTGATTGGTTGCCGATGTAATAGTTTGTCGTTAATTGTGGTTGTCAGTGGTTATTGTTGTTGTTGGTTGGTGTTGTTGTTGTTTGTAATTGTGGCTGAATCTATGTCTCACCCCCCTCCCCATCCTCCACCACCTCCTCCTCTACCGCCTCCTCTACCACCACCTCCACCACCACCGCCTCCACCACCACCACCTCCTCTACCACCACCGCCTCTTCAGTTCTTCACTTTAATCGTCATCCTCTTCGCGGCCGAGATCACCGCCGCCATCTGGGCCTTCATGTTCCACGACGAGGTGAGGCACCAGCACCACACAGACGCCCCCACCCCACCGCCCCCACCCCACCGCCCCCACCCCATCGCCCCCACCCCGTCGCCCCCACCTCATCGCCCCCACCCCATCGCCCCCACCCCATCGCCCCCACCCCGTCACCCCCACCCCATCGCCCCCACCCCGTCACCCCCACCTCGTCGCCCCCACCCCGTCGCCCCCACCTCACCGCCCCCACCTCGTCACCCCCACCCCGTCGCCCCCACCCCACCGCCCCCACCCCGTCGCCCCCACCCCATCGCCCCCACCCCGTCGCCCCCACCTCATCGCCCCCACCCCATCGCCCCCACCTCGTCGCCCCCACCCCATCGCCCCCACCTCACCGCCCCCACCCCGTCGCCCCCACCCCGTCGCCCCCACCCCACCGCCCCCACCCCGTCGCCCCCACCCCGTCGCCCCCACCTCACCGCCCCCCACCTCGTCACCCCCACCCCATCGCCCCCACCCCATCGCCCCCACCCCGTCGCCCCCCACCCCATCGCCCCCACCCCGTCGCCCCCACCCCGTCGCCCCCACCCCACCGCCCCCACCCCGTCGCCCCCACCCCGTCGCCCCCACCTCACCGCCCCCCACCTCGTCACCCCCACCCCATCGCCCCCACCCCGTCGCCCCCACCCCATCGCCCCCACCCCGTCGCCCCCACCCCGTCGCCCCCACCCCGTCGCCCCCACCCCACCGCCCCCACCCCGTCGCCCCCACCCCGTCGCCCCCACCTCACCGCCCCCACCTCGTCACCCCCACCCCATCGCCCCCACCCCATCGCCCCCACCCCGTCGCCCCCACCCCATCGCCCCCACCCCGTCGCCCCCACCTCACCGCCCCCCGCCCCATCACCCCCACCCCATCGCCCCCACCCCGTCGCCCCCACCCCGTCGCCCCCACCCCGTCGCCCCCCACCTCACCGCCCCCACCTCGTCACCCCCACCTCGTCACCCCCACCCCGTCACCCCCACCTCACCGCCCCCACCCCGTCGCCCCCACCTCGTCACCCCCACCCCGTCGCCCCCACCTCACCGCCCCCACCTCGTCACCCCCACCCCGTCGCCCCCACCCCGTCGCCCCCACCCCGTCGCCCCCACCCCGTCGCCCCCACCTCACCGCCCCCACCTCGTCACCCCCACCTCGTCACCCCCACCCCGTCACCCCCACCTCGTCACCCCCACCACGTCACCCCCACCTCGTCACCCCCACCTCACCGCCCCCACCTCGTCACCCCCACCTCGTCACCCCCACCCCGTCACCCCCACCTCGTCACCCCCACCCCATCGCCCCCACCCCGTCGCCCCCACCTCACCGCCCCCACCAGCCGTGCTCAATTCGCTGCTGATGGGTGAAGGCCTCCCCGAGCCACCACCGCTGCCGCTCGCGGCCCGCTAACGACGGCACGTGGCCCGCTAACGACGGCACGTGGCCCGCTCACGACGGCACGTGGCACGCTCACGACGGCACGTGGCACGCTCACGACGGCACGTGGCACGCTCACGACGGCACGTGGCCCGCTAACGACGGCACGTGGCACGCTCACGACGGCACGCGGCCCGCGCCTCTACTTCATCTCCCCCGTGGACGTCCTCGCCGCAGCGATCCCCAACCCCTGGCTCCCGCCCCATTGTTGGTCTCCAACACGATGACGACGATGATCGCCATCTTTGCAATTACGATGTTGACGACGTTGACGACGACGACGATGATGATGACGATGACGACGATGATGATGATGACGACGTTGACGATGACGATGTTGACGACGACAATGTCCACGCAGGTGGAGACGCAGATGATTGAGTACTACAACGGCCTCTACAACGACAAGGGCAACAGCACACGCTCCGCCACCAACACAACTCTGAGCATCATCCACTCCACGGTGAGCCCCCCCCTCCGCCCCCCCCCCTCCGCCCCCCTCCTCCACCCCCCCCTTTCGCCCCCCCCCCTCCGCCCCCACCCCCCCCCCCCGCGTCTCCACGGCGGTCCCTCGCGGCACGCCGGGGTCCGGCTGGAAGCCGCGTCAAGCAAATGGGCGAGTTGGCGGATGGCAGCGCATGCTGCAGCATCACGCCCTGCCGGTGCCCGGTGCACGTGGATGTGGGACAAAGGGCCGAGACGAGGTTTTACGACGTCGCGTACTGTACCGTTCTCGCGTACTGTACTGTTCCGGGTACTGTACCGTTCTCGGTACTGTACTGTTCCGGGTACTGTACCGTTCTCGGTACTGTGCCATTCCGCGGACTGTACCGATCCGGGTACTGTGCCATTCCGCGGGGCCGACCACTCAGAAAGAGCGTGACGTGACGTGGTACGTGTACCTCCGATTATCCCGCACCCTGGCTCAGCACTCGAACCCAGGCCAACTTGGCACCCCCCTGCACCCCCCTGCACCCCCCCACCCCCCCACCCCACCACCACCCCCCCACCCCCCGTCTGTTGATAGGTAGTGAAGTCTGTCTGCGAGGAGCGGTTCTGAGTAGTCATGAGCCAGAGTCGTCATGGCGACCGCGGGGTCAAGGGAACGGACTCGGAGCGTTACAGCCACCACCGTGAGCGAGAGTGAGTGTGTGAGAGTGTGTGTATGTGAGAGTGTGTGTATGTGAGAGTGTGTGTATGTGAGAGTGTGTGGCTGCGTTGGCTGGGTCAAGTAGCCCGCATGCCCAGCCACCGCATGCCTAAACAGCTTTTGTTCGGCCGGATCGAGGGGGCTAAACGGGCGCGGCACTGGCTCGAGAAGAGATGGAGTGATGTGGAACAGGCGGACGTGGAGCTGAGTGGACTTGCCGATGACCGGTACCAGCGGTGTCAAGATCGGCCTCTGTGGAGGAGGCTTGTGAAGGACGCTGCTGGGCAGTTGGAGGCAGTCGCCCTCCAACAACAACGGAGGGCGGAGGAGCGACGCTCACAACAACGAGCAGAGCGCCGGGTAGCTAAAGCACAGCAAGTAGGGGGCACAGGTGGTGCATCAGCCAGTCATCTCGGTCATCTCAGTCAGTCGACCCGTGGCACCTGGGTCTGCCCCGTGACCTGCCAGCGGGCGTTCGACACTTCACGTGGCCTCAAGGTGCACGTGGCCTGGCACAAGCGTCGTGGTGACGTCACCGCCACTTAGTGGCGAATGGCGGTTGTTGTTGTTGTGTGAGAGTGTATGTGTGTGTGAGAGTGCGTGTGAGTGTGTGTGTGTACGTGAGAGTGTGTGTGTGTGTGAGAGTGCGTGCATATGGGGAGCGGTAGCGTAGCGGTTAGCGCGAATTCGATTCCTGATCACGGCCAACACCGGTGACGATTATCTGAACTGGTCCTGGGCCTCCCCTGTAGGTCGACTCAGCCTCAAATGAGTACCCGGTGCGGTGTGTAGTAAACATCGCCACTGGGGAGACAAAGGCGTCCGGGCGTGATGCCGGCCTTCATAGGCGCCGCGCTCATTTGCGACAAACGGCACTTGCCCCGACAGTCTGTTAAAGGATCCTTTGTCTTTGCTTGCGCCAGCGCACGAGTGTTTATGCCGCCGGAGGCTGCAGCTAGCGCCCAATGGGAGACCACGTGTGGGGCCCGCGCCGGTCGGAGTTGAGAGGCCCTTGAGCTGGGCCACTGCTGAGGGGCCTGGGTTTGAGCCGTGGCTCTGGGCGGCTCTCTCACGGCGGGGGAGGTTCACGATGGCCGTGTCAGACGGAGGACAGCCCAGTGAGCAGAGCTTGCTTCGATCCAATGCTGGCCGACTTCCCTCACAGGCGAGGGCCGGTTTCGTAACTCAGTGTCTCATCAGCAGTAGAGGCAGGGCTTGCTTGAGCCCGTGGTGGCAAACTGCCCAGATGTGTACAGGCAATCTCACCCCCCCCCCCGCTCTCTCCGTGAGACTTGGGTCCAAGACTCTTATCGTACGCAGTACAAACTAATCATTTGCGTCGTAAGAGAGTTTGTGTAAAAAAAAAGACAAATAAACCCAGGGGGCCTTGAGACGTC